GAAGAGCCCGGGCTTTCAGTCAAGCCAGCTCCATATCCCCTGAAGTAGGGTGATGTAGGGAAAATCTTTCCATATTTGCCTATTTTCTCATCTGCAAAAATAGGAATTAAAATAGCACCTATTTGGTAAAGCTGAGATGAGAAGTGAAACAGGACTCGGGTGAAGTCCATACAAGGCATGCACCCAGCATTCAAGGAGTTACTTATGTCTGCTGAATTACAAAAGCCGGAATCCCTGGGGACAGCGGGGACACTTTCCCAGCAGCCTCCTCAGGTTCTGGGTTAAACAAAGAGCGGGGCTGAACAGGAAGGATGCTAGGCCTGCACTTCAAAGCGGGGACTTCGGAGAAAGAAAGTACCAAAACAGGGATACTGAGAGTGGCACCCTGGGCTGCGTCTGTGGCAGCTGCCGTGAGGCCTAGACTGCCCGCTCCATTCACTCTGTGTATGGTATTGTCTGGTCCTACAGAGTGAAAAGCCCACTATTTAACAGAGAAATGGGTTTACCAGCTTGCACGTGAGGCAAGCAGGGGAGGACGCTGAAATCCTGATTCTCATCTCTCCTCCATTAGCCGATGTGGCTGGCTGAGACAGGTTCTCATTACGTAGTCCCAGCGGACCTCGAGCTCCCTCTGACCCTCTGCTTCAGCCTCTAGGGTGTGGGGATTACTGCACCACCATTAGCAGTTTATCCGTTGATTTTTTTAATAACAGCTGGATCTTTAAGTTTCTGACATTGGGCCGGGGGTATAGCTCAGCGGCGTACGTGCCTGCCTGGCAAGTGCAAGGTCCTGAATTCAATCCCTGGTACTGCAAAATAAATAAATTAATTAATTAATTAATTTCTGGCATAATGTAAGATAATCTTTGTAAAATACAGTATGGGGGAGGACAGTAAAGGCCATTCCCTGAAATGACCTTGACCACTGAGGCAGGGTTTCTCAGGACAGCAGCTAACTATACAACGGACGAGCTGCAAAAGGGTAAAAAAAAATGTGTATTCATTTACCTTCCAAAGCTCTGGCATCATTTTTAAAAACTTGTTGTCTAGTCCTGTGCAGTGTTTTAAAGAGCTGTAAAACCTGCTAAGAAAACCAATTCAGACCTCGTAAGAAAAAAATGCACAATTCACATAATTGTAGCCTAAGGATGAACAGTCTTCACACAGTATTCTCTTTCTGCTTGTTTCTTACTCTGCCAAAGCAACTCCCTGTGCGATTTGCTTTAAGTGTCAAACCCCTCAGGCAGGGAGGTGCAGCTCAGGGACAGAGCCAGGGCTTGGCATGTGCTGTCCTTAGGTCCAATTCCCAGAAAAGAGAAAAAAAGCTAGTAATTCTGCCAAAAGCCAGGCAAGGGTAGACAACATTACTAGCCTAGTAAGTACTTCTCCTCTTTCTTAATTTACTGAAGCTTTAATCTGCTCTTAAAATCACACACAGTGAACCCAGGGCCTCTGCACTGAGCTTTACCTCCAGCCCCTTTTCATTTTTTAGTTTGAGACAAGACCTCACAGGTATCTCAGATTTCACAGGTTTTGTTTTTTATCACTTAATTGCTCTGGGTTGGTCTTGAACTTGTGATACTCCTGCCTCAGCCTCCCAGAGTGCTGAGATTACAAACAATTTATCCCACCTCCTCCACTCTTTCCCCGGTACTGGGGATTGAATCTAAGCGCCATCTACCACTGTGCTACGGCCGCAGTCCTGTTATTTTGACACAAGGCCTGGCTACATTACCCAGGCAGGTTCCTGCGTGGCCCGCCACAGCGCAGGGTTGTAGGGTGCACACCTGCTCCCGGCTCCGAACTCA